ATATTAAAGCATCTTTCAGGATTGCTGCTTTCCAAGGAATCCTCTTTGCAGCTGTTCACTTGACCTGAGTTTCTTTTCAGATTTTAGCATTTAGATTAGAGTCTTGATGCACAGCTGTAACTATACAGAATTAGCATTACCTCGCACATAAACAATCAGTTCTTCTGAGGCAAAGCTAAAACTCTGTAAACCGCTGAATTAGAGATTCAAGCGCTGATCTAAGATTTGACATTTGTGATGAGGGTTTCTGTGTAATGTATTCAGCAATAAAGCGCCGCTTGAAAATATTTATTCAATCAAATTTGCATTGCTTATGTAGTTACGATGGGGCTTAGATTAAATTAACCGTAACTGGTGACAAATAATAACTCCAAACGACACTTGCTTCCTTTTTCTTCTTTCTTTTATTTTTTTATTTTTAAGAATTCCATTAACTGATATTCAGTTTGTCAAAATATTTGACTCATCAAAATGTAACATGTAAATGAGGTTTTGATAAATGCGTGGTACAGCAGACACATTCGAGTTTATTGTTACAAAGGGTAACAACATAAAGTAACCCCAAGGAAGTGACAGTAGAAATCATTAGCCTAGGGGGATGAATGAAGCAGTGATTATACAGAATAATTTATCTTTCCATAACTCTATTGCAATCATTTTTTTTGCATAACTCTCAAACCACACATGATCTTCAACTCAACATAGAGTCTCGGTGTAAAAGCCAAATGGCCTGCTGTAGTTGTCAGACCTTGTGCAGATAATGCACATTCTCTAGACATCTAAAAATAGAATTAATGTAAGCCATAAAAATAATAATACATTAGGATCTATAACTAGGCTATATAATATACAGATAATCAGGTGCCTGTGGTTTCAGGTGATGTACATCTTTGGATGTTTTCCCTATCTAGAATAGAAGACTTGTTGGTTACACATATTTAGCCTTTTTACTCGATAGGATATTCATCTCAGTGTCCCTGCAGAAAACCCTTATTGCGGGCAGTTACAAACAGCCTGATGAATATGAAGTGCCTGTTTCCATCAATAGAGTTCCTTTGAAATAGCATGGAGACATAATTATGGGCTCAAACCAAGTGGTTAAAGGGACACTCCACTGTCCAAACACAAAAAAGCTATCTATAGTTAAATAAGTCTTTAGTTAATTTTTATACTATGGAAATTTTATTATTTAGTTTTTTTTTTTAAATTAGCTGAATTGAACACATTGAACATATAGCTCAGAGCTTGTCCAGTGGGTGGATGCCCTATAATTAGAGAATCTCAATTTTGCAGGGACCAGTGACTACATAAGCTCTTTTAATGCTCATTAAACATTTTTTAAAAATGATATGTAATATATAGAGAGAGGGAGTGTTTGTATACAAAAAGAATATACCACGAGGAAGGAACTGCTGCCTTAGGGTAAGGATATCCCTATATTTCACGGTGTATGTATTGCTTTTATATATTTTGTTTATATAGCTTCATAACCTAGTGCGTTAGCCTGTCTATGCCTGTCAAATGAAGTCTTGAAGCATCATTAATCTATGTACACATCTCCTATGTACTCTTAAGATTCTGCCTAATTATGCATCATATAGGATAAAAAAATATATACATCCATAGACAAATACCTGTGCTTCTTTTCTGTTATGTAACTTTGAGTAATAATGTAAACAAATGGTCAGAAAATAGGGGAGAAAATGGAAGATTAACATCGGTCTCAAGGTGCAAATGTGAATTTGTACAATGAATACAGGAATATTAATACCCCTTTGACACATACATAATACTAAATTAATGTACAATTTTAAATTAAGTGTTGTCATTCTTTGGATATGTCCTGCTTGTATAAACTCTATTCTTTCTATCCTGAGTCATCATATATTTCTTGACAAATATAATCCAGGTCATTCTATTAAATAATAAAGATTGATCTGTTTCTAAAGGCTGCAAATGATATGGAGGCTGACAAGAACGTTGGTGGCTAGAACTTGACGGATATATAGCGGTGTGATTTTATTCACAAAGAAATACTTTAGAAATACCTTAATGCTTTAATTGTGTGTTTTAAGTGGTCTATTTCTTTGTAAGGAAAAAAACCACACACATATATTTCACATCCATGAGGTGCGAAGAAAATATCTGTGAAAATAAACACTGCATTGTATGTTTTGTCTGCCTGAAATAAAAGGGCCAAAATGCAACAGTAGCAGCAGACTTCCTTTTATTATAATGTTGTATTGTGTTGTGAAAGGGATAACAAAAAAAATAAAACAAATGTGGAAAAAAGAATGTTAATATCTTTAGGATGTGTGACCCCAACAGGAAGAGCCAAGCATGTCAGTAAACACCTAGAAGTGAACAAAATAAATACAGAATGTTAGTTTGGCTAACCCTTTAGCTACTCGGCATAAGCCAGAACAAAGCAATCAAACAGCTAGCAATCAAACCAGAACTCAATATGTTGCATTCATCATTTAAAATACATGGGGTTTTTAGTCTGGGTTTAGTGAACTATTGTTGATGTTAAGTTAAGGGTTAGTGTTAGGATTAGGATTAGGATTAAGGCTGTGGTTAGAGTAGTGTAAGGGTTAGGGCATCCCCAGATGTTTTAATACTACAGCTTCCATGATGCTTTGTCATTCTAAAGGCATGCATCGTGTGAGTTATAGTTCTACAAAATATGGGGATCTGCTTTTTGGGCACACCTGGGTTAGGGTTCAGGAGTAGTATAAGTGTTACAATAGTGCAAGGGTTAAAGTATTTTTTGTTTATTTTCTTTTTATTGTTTTTCAAAAATAAAAGATACAGTTGCATACGTCGGTACAATGTTTGACAATGTTTGAGACCGATAAATTCAAGGCATTAAATTGGTCGTCAGTGAGCATTGAGGTTGCAAGATATCATACATATGTCGTATGTGAGTAGCGTTTTCTAGCGAGGCCCATTTGTGTTTTTGTCTGTACCTGAGGTTACATAGGTAAGATACTCAGTATCACTCACGTAGGTAAGTATGTTACAGGATAAAATATCATCAGAGAATAATAATTAACAATATGTTATTAAGAATTAACATAGTATCAAAAAATAAAAACAAAGGATAAAATTAAAGAGAAAATAATAAGGAAAAGATTAACTAAGCACATGAGTGTTGTCATAGTAGTCAGTGGTAGTTGGTTTTCAAGTCTGTACTATATGTTCCTTACATAAATTAGAAAGTTAATGGTGAGAAGATATTACTCTCTGTATGCATATGTCTTTAGTGATTTTGTAAGTCATAAGTGTGATTTGTGATGTCAGGAGTTGAAATGTGTCCAAAAGATTGGCTTATATTTGCTCATTTTGCTCTTTGTATGCGCTATCCACGTCACCCAATTTATCGTGTATTGCGTTTTATGCCCAGATACAGAGTAACCAACCTCCTCCATGCTTCTAATGTGTTTTACTCGAGTGTACCATTCATTGAGTGGAGGTGAAATCTGTTGCCTCCAATATTTAGGTATGAGAACTGTAGCTACTGATAATAGATAGAATTCAATAGATTTACCATGGAGGTTTATAGGTTTGGGGGATAGGTGTAGAAATATTTTCAGAAAGGAGCTTGGCCTTGGGATGTCAGCAAATGTTGTTATTGTTGACATTATATGATTCCAATATTCTGTTAAAGTTGGGCATTCCCACCAGATATGTCGGAATGTGCCCCTTTCTTTATCACACGTCCAACACATTTCTGTCACTGTGGGGAATATTTAATGTAGGCTTACTGGGGTTCAGTACCACCTCGTAATTAACTTGTAGTTAGTTTCTACCATGGTTGTATTGATGTTACTACTGTGTGTAAGATAGAACATCTTAGGCCACTTTGTTCCAGTAATATGTGTGTTTAATTCTGTGGCCCATTCAGTAGTATATTTAGGTAGATGTTGACTAACGGTCTTTTGTATAATGGAATATACTATGGAGAGTGGTTTTTTAAGGGAATGTTGCCGTTTGTATAGGTTTTCAATTCTGAGAAGGGGTATTGCATCTAAGTGTTCCAGTGTCGATGCATATTGTTGCAATTGAAGATACCAAAATTCATCCATAAATGTAGGATGGGTATTAGGACATAACTCGGAAAGAGGTTTAAGTTTTCCATCTGTTATTATCTCCATCAAAGTTACATAACGGAGTTGGGATGATTTAGGCCATTTGAGCCCATTTTTCCCAGGTGGAAATGCAGAATTGTGAGAGATCAGTAATAAAGGTGATGGGAATCCCATGAGATGTAGTTGCTTTGCAAATTTCTTCCAAAGGCAGAGTAGTGATCTGATTGATGGGTGGTATTATGGGATTAGGTGTGAAAGTGGCTCCGACTGCCATGGTAATGATGCCAGTGGGAGATCGGTCCACTCTTGTTCTAGTGATTTCCATTGTTTATGGCTCCCAGCATTGCACCATTCAAGAATTCTAGCAAATTGTGTTGCTATATAGCAATGGAAGGGATCTGGGAGTCCCAGTCCACCATTCCCTTTGGGCCTAGTCTGGGTGTTAAATGATAATCTGGGTCTACATAAGTCCCATTGAGTTGTATCTGTGCTTGTGGAGATGCGTATAGGGCTTTAATCCACTGTAGCCATCCAATACATTCAACAGTAGGGGCCAGTCCACCAAAGGCTTTTTCTGCATCTATACTTATAAGAAGTGTTGGGATTTGCTTAGTGATTGCTTTATATATGATGTTAATAATCTTTGTCGTGTTGTCTTTTGCTTCCCTATGATGGGTAAACTCAGCCTGATAAGGGTGGACTAGCTCACGTAGAAGAGGTTTTAGTCTGTTAGCCAGCATTCGGGAAAATATCTTAATGTTGTTATTTATTAACGAAATTGGCCTGTAATTGCTGCATTGAGTGTGATCTTTGTCAGGTTTGGGGATCACGGTTATCGTAGCTTCTAAGGCAAAGGGGCCAGTTTTGGAGGTGTTGAGATCGAGCTAAATGCTTGTATCATGTGATGTCCTAATTGAGGATAAAAAACTTTGTAGTATTAATTGGTGTATATGTCTGGGCCTGGACTTTTACCATTTGGGGCGGTTTTGCTGTTGATAATTCCTGAGCTGTGAATGGGGCATTTAGTGTGTTACTCATTGTGGGGGTCAGTCTGTAGATTATGTTGTTGTGGACACACTGCTGTCTCTTGGTGGTAGAGACCCCAGTCAGTTTTAATCCATATAGAGAAGCATAATATTGTTGGAATGCTTTTGCTATGTCTGCTGTCAGTTGGTGTGTGTTCCCTTGAGTATCTGTGACTTTGGATAGGTATGATTTGTGGAGTCTCTGCTGTAGGGCCCTGGTCAGAAGTTTTCCATTTATATTACCACGAGCATGGAAGGAGTGTTGAGTGAGTAAGATTGCTTTCTTTGCGCTGTGGTTTTGTAATGTGGACATTTCTTCCCAAAGTGATTTTACCTGGAGGAGTGTCTTGGAATCTTTGTTAGATTTATGTTGTATTTCTAGTGCTTGAATATGTGTCAGGATGGATTGTAGTTAATGTTTCTAATTTTTTTAAATTTAGAACCAATTTGGATGTAGGAACCCCTTAGGATACATTTATGTGCCTCTCACATGTTTATGGGAAAAGTAACTGAAACTGGGTTGTCGTGAAAATATGTAAGTATTGTCTCCTGTATCTGGGTTTTAACTTGTTGGTCATCTAGAATGGAATCATTAGGCTTCCAGTTCCTGGTGTGTGTGGGGATAGTTGGGGAAGTCATATGTACCGGACCATGATCAGTCCAAGTAATTAGACCTATAGAAGATTTTCTGATGAGATGTAGGAACCTGTGATTAACAAAAATCGAGTCTATGAGAGAGTATTTGTCCTTTGGGTGTGAGTAGAATGTAAAAACATTAGAAGAGGGATTTGTGAGTCTCCAGCAGTCTATAATTTATAGACATGTGCAATTCGTTTCGTTCCGAATGTATATTCGGCCGAATTTCGTGCAATTTGGACATTTAGATGCTTACGAATTACCGAAGTTTGAATTGCCGATGTGAACCGAATTGCCGAATTTCCAAAGTGTCAAAGTGCTTCAGGTTTCTGAAAAGTGGCAAGACAAGAAACTTACGATGACAGGAATCTTGACCAATAAGCTAACACTGGAAGCCCTATAGATGTGTAAGTGGTTGTGATGGCAGTCCGGGTACTGGGACCCCTATAGATGTGTAAGTGTTGTCTTGGTTAGTTGTTATAGATGTGTAAGTGGTTGTCTTGGTAAGGGTTAGGGGTTACGGGTTACGGTTAGGGGTTACGGTTAGGAGTTAGGGATCCCTACAGATGTGTAAGTGTTTGTGGTGGCAGTCCGGGCACTGGGAGCCCTATAGAAAAAATATTAGTATAACATTTATTTGAAGCAAGGGATGTGCAGCTGGCATAGACACATATCATAACACTGCACCTTTGTGTATAGATTGCTTCACAAAAAACAGAAAATTTAAATATGTACATTTACGTAAATTTTATTTTTCACCTATTCATTCATCTTTTAGAAAAAAATATTTGGAAAATACAAAGTTTTAGACAGTATGCAGTGTCCTTTATCACACAGTCTGAAATGTTAGTTTAAAAGCAAAAAATGCAAATTTTCCCACTTAGAGGTTTATTTACTAAAGTAAGTATTTTGGGTCATTCTGAGTAAATTCAAATTTTAGTCAGTTATACTTTGGCCTTTAATTTAAAATTCACATTGAATTCACTTTGAATTATCTGCAATTCTCCCTTTAGTGAATAACTCTGATAGAGTAGATATGACAAACATCTATATATGAAAATGATTGCTTATAGGTATTTGCTTATAGGCATTACTAGCAGCGCAGCTTACTAAAAACTGCTGCAAAAAGAATGTCCGCATTTGAGTATAATCCTACATAACAGTTAATACAATCAAATTATATATTTCTAAAAGAAATGGTATAGTCCATGCATTCTCCCTCCCCGACTGTAAGAATGGTATCACCCAGTGATATTTCCTGTACTATTTGAAAGCAGGGGTACAACTTTACACTCATTAAATCAATGACTAGTGGCTTCTGCAACAAAAACAGAGAAGATGAGAACTCTAGAGGCTTCGACCAGAGAAATGTGTTCCTCTACAGGTTGGTAATCATAACTAGAGTATAAATGAGGATGAGTGAGGCTTTGTGGACTAGATTTCATACTGCAAAATACATGAAAATAAAAAATTGTTTCTTCGATTTTGGTATTTAGGGGATTTACGGAATAGTTAAAGCCCTGGAGGCCCACAGAAAGACTGATAGGACGAATATTCCAGAGGAATGATGTGGCCATTGAGAAAACCTATAGGTGAGAATTAGTAATGGAAAATCATGTAGAAAATGAGATCACTTTCAGAGCAAGATGATCAAAAATTGTTATTACCATATGTCCAGGGGCTCCTAATATCTTAAGATCCTGACTCTGCTTGCTTTTTATGTCAATGTATGACATACACTATATTAATATTTTATAGTAATGCAAATTCTGCTTTGTCTAAATGTATCTGATACGTATAATTTCCCTTAACAGAAATGATTGCATTGGATTTCCACCTCCTATGTTTTTGTTGCACTCATGCAATAAGAGACTCGCTGATTTGCTTCCTTATAAGAATTTTGTCTCATTTGCCACCCACCTTCGCCTGTATTCACAAGAAACAGAGACCAACAATCTGCGTGCAAAGGGTGATTTTGTCAAGTTTGCCAATGCATGGTGCAACCCATGACAAACACGCTGATTGATTTCATAATTCTACACAACAATTTGTCCAAACCTCAAGTCCCCTATTGGAGCCAGCAAAATAAAGGCGTCGGGTTGCTCAGATTTCACTCACTCTTAAAAATCATTCCAGACGTGGAGAAAAAAAGAAACAATATTTGCAGAAGCAGACCAAAATGTCTCTGTGTTTACTGAAAAAAGAGAGGTCAAGCCAAAAACATCAGTTTTACTACCAGCCTGTTCTTGAGTCCATGAAAATAAATACATAATGCAAAAAGAAAAATATTTCCAAGTGTTGTATACATAGAGCAGCAGCATTTCTACAGTATTCCAAACAAGAAGTAACTATTGTCCAAAGGACAGGAATATTGTATCAATGCCTGGCCGGCACTACCTTAAGGTGAATTAGGCATGTGTGTGTAAATGTCCATTTATGTATCTGTGTGTAAATGTTGCGACCTATGTATCTGTTTGTGTAAATATGACAGTGCGTGCATGTGTGTGTATGTAAATATGACAATGTATTGGTCTGTTAATGTGTGAATGTTAACCCCTTAAGGACACATGACATGTGTGACATGTCATGATTCCCTTTTATTCCAGAAGTTTGGTCCTTAAGGGGTTAAAGGACCACTATAGTGCAAGGAAAACATACTCGTTTTCCTGGCACTGTAGTGCCCTGAGGGTGCCCCCACCTTCAGGGTCCCCCTCCCGCCCGGCTCTGGAAAGGGGAAAGGGGTAAAAACGTACCTTTTTCCAGCGCTGGGTGGAGAGCTCTCCTCCTCCGATCCTCCTTCTCTCCTCCCCGTCGGCTGAATGCGCACGCGCGGCAAGAGCTTTCCAATGGACGCTGGCGTGCTCTCACTGTGAAAATCACAGTGAGAAGCACGCAAGCGCCTCTAGCGGCTGTCAATGAGACAGCCGCTAGAGGGAATGGGGGAAGGCTTAACCCATTCATAAACATAGCAGTTTCCCTGAAACTGCTATGTTTCTGAAAAAATGGGTTAACCCTAGCTGGACCAGGCACCCAGACCACTTCATTAAGCTGAAGTGGTCTGGGTGCCTAGAGTGGTCCTTTAATCTGTGCATGCCATGTTTAAATGTTAGCGTGGGTATCTGCACGTGAGTAAATATGTCAACTTATGTATATGTATGTGTGAGTGTATGTACTCGAGCGGTAGATGTGCAGTCAATGTAAGCTTGAGTGTACATATATCTCTGTGTGTGAGCGTAGGTAGTTTACCTAAGAAAAACAGACACTAAAGAGGGTGGTTGAATTCATTTTTGCAGAGGGTGGAAAAAATCCTTGCACCAGCCCTTTGTCAATGTTGTCACCTGCAGGAAACATAGAACTGGAAGACTTAGCCACTGATTTTGCATCCTCACATTTTTCCTCTCTAGTGAAACTAGCTAATTAAGGATCTGTGCAGACAGGTGATGTGGGTAAGTATACGCCCTATATTGTTATTCTTCCTGTTGCTCTAGATTGTAAGCTCCTTTTGAGGTTACATCTCATTTTGGTCACCTTGGGTTTTTTACATACATTGTCATTGTACAGCGCTTCTGAAAATGTTGCCGTTATTTAGGTAAAACATTGTATGTAAGAATGTTATATCTAACTAATTTGTGATCAAACAAAATTTTTAAATGTAATACACCAGTATGTTACTCAAAAACACAAATACATCATTAGAAAAATGTGCAAATAATGCAGAAATAAAGTAATAAAGTAAGATTTGGATTTTTTTGCTTGTTTTTTTTTTCTCCAAAGAGGTTATGTACTGTGGATTATTTCGGAGTACTGTGTAGGCATAGGCATATTCCAGCTTGGGTATATTTGAATAAATTATTTAATGTTGCAGTATGTGAGAGCTGTCAATGGGCACCAATGAAAATGATAATAATTAACAACAAGTTCCATTTTAGCCTATTTTAACAATAATTTAGTAGATGTTTTCTCAAGGCGTTTACCATGTGTCATTCTGTAATGATAAGCATAGATCTGATTTTATGATCTATAATCATTATGAACCATGATCATGCTTCTGATACTCTACCCATTATCGGAATCTTTAGCCTTGTACTGTGATACCATCATCTTCATGTGTGCTCTTGCTTCGATGGGGTGTGCCACAGACAATAACAAAAACTCAACATTTAATATTCAGTAATTATAACAATTAAACTATTCGTTCGTAAATGAGTAAGAGGAAAATTACAGCTAAACACAAACACCGCAGAAATGTAAAAACAGCCCTGGTCCTTAACTGTAAGAAAAACTAAAAACGGTCTGGTCACTAAGGGGTTAAAGGAAGATACTAAGAAAGAATTGACCCTCCTTTTATATACAGACATAGCTCTCAAATACAATGGATTAGGTTCCAAATCACCTCTGTAAAGCAAATCACATGGACCACTTTTATTTTCTAGTGCATATAAAAGACTTAACATGTGTTTGCATCATACATAATATGCATATTAAGTTTGAATGACTAGAAAAAAAAATGAAAAGGTAAAAATATATATTTTTTAAATGCTACGAATTGCTGAGCTTAGAATAGTGTAAATTCATTATCTGACTATAATTGGAAAGTGTTGTGTTAGTGATGTGCCTTACAGAAATGTATATCTGTATCATATAGATTTACAAAAAAAATCTATATAAGTCACCTGT